TCTACATTGTTCTTTTTTTTCTTTTTCATTATAACATACAAATGCCCATTTACAAATAATACACCAAAATGAATAAAAGTTTGGATACCAAAATGAAGATTTGTTCCAACTGATATAATGCCTTCAGTGTACAAAGGTCCATGTGAAAGTCTTTTCCATGTGTTACAGCATAGGGCACAGTTGCAGTACAGAAGTACTCTGAGAGCCATTCTTCCTTTATAAAATACTGCTGAACATCCAACTGTTGTCCATATAGTCATTTATGGAATTAACACATGTTTTACTGTAATCTTGGCCAGTATTGAGACATATCAGGTTCACTGCCAGGAACTTGAACTGGAACTGACACTCCAGGGGAAATGAGACCTGAAAATTGAGAGGGGAAAAATGGATATTTTAGTTTTTCTATACATAGCACAATTTTTGCTTATCAGTTTCACAGATCTGTGCTTGCATTCCAGTAAACATGAAATCTCACCATCTACCAGCCTGTGGAATTCAGGGGTGGGGGTGAATATGTTTTAAAAACTTCTGCACATCTCCCTGATTTGTTATATMTTTTATTTTTAAATAAACTGTCATGCTTTGAGATAAACCCCAGAGCCTCGGCTCATTTGTACCAGTTGAGAATGCAGCCCAAAACACACTGAACATTTCTATTCTTTTTAAGAGCATCTGGTTTGCTCCTATTTATGCTGACACCTGCCCTTTTTTACCCTGATTTTCCTTTTTTATACATGGGCTAGTATTTCTACAGGTTCCCTGCCCCTTTGATAACTTCAAACCTTTAGCAATAAATAAATAATACCAGAGACAGTAAAAATGTGCCCAGTCCTGCAAACACTTTCACATACACTCAACCTCACCAGTGAGGATATATCTGCTGAAATTCAATGCTGAAATAAATGCTGATTTAGGATTTAATTATACATTTTAAGGATGGGGGTGCTCACTAAAAACTCGCCACTGTCCTGCTTTCAACGTCAGCTTTCTCTTCATCTAGCCCCCTCCAGAAGCAGCTTAAAAATCAGAATTTTTGCTCTAGCTTGCAAAAATTATATAWTTTCATCCTCTGCATGGTAGGGTTTAGCTACTAAACCTCAAYAGAGGTTTAAACCTCTCAACAGAGACCTCTCCCAGTGATGGGGAAAGACTTCTCTCAGCGATTGTATGTGAAAAAATGGATGGCCCAAGGGAAGAATGGGGGAGCAGGGCATCACTCACCTGTGGAAGTGGTGCCAGAGGTGCCCATGGGCTGGCTGTTCATGTGTGTCTGCATGTGAGGAGGGGTGTAGGTGTCATAGCTCCGGCCGTTCACCGAGGGGCTGGTGGGCAGCATGCAAGAGTAGGAGGAGGTCTGGCTGGGTACCGGGGGCTGTGGGAGCAGAGGACAGAGAGAAATGTCACTGGAGGTAAAATCAGCATCACAGCCTTCAGCAGGGACGTGCCAGCCCTCAGCAGCAGCGAAAATRAGCTTGGGTTTCTGGTTCAGGGACCCCAATGCAAAGCCCTGTTTAGGAGCTCAACCAAGCAGCCCCTCCACAGAGCCTTTTGGCCTAAAAACCAACGTGGATGTCACTGGCGCTTTCTCAGATGTGCCTGACAGGCAGATCCCTACAGCTGGATGCTGTGGAGGTGTCACATCCCTGAGCCTGAGTGCTGGCCTCGTTTGTACCCAGCTAAAAGGAAAATATCCCATACCAGAGACAGGGCCAGCACCTTACCCCACACACAGTGCTGTGACTGAAATTATTCCACTGAGGCACACGGGCTGATCCTATATCTGCAAGCTGGGGCACACACCACAGACCATGTGTGGGTTTGGGGTGACTGAGGCTCCGAAGAGGGATCCCCAGACCCATACACAAACATGCATCAGTCCATCAGAGCCACAGTCACCTCAAACCGGTGCCAGGGGAATAAACATCTCAATTTACCAAAACTCCAACTCCTAAAACCCAAACTGCAAGGGGTAACAGCAGCTGGGGAGAGGCCAAGCAGGGGCTCTGGGTGAGTGGGCACCAGCACAGCCTTGACCCAGGGAGGCAGCGAGGGAGTGGGATGAGCAATCCCCATGAGCTCTGAGCTCACAGACCCGACACRTCTGCACGGATTTCCTGCCTGCACATCCCTGACCCACGGCACCCAGCAATACCAACAGCCTCCCTTGCTGAACACACACTCTGTGCTTTGGAAAAACAGCAAAACTCCACATGGAGATGCCAATGCTCGGCTGCCCCATGTCCCTCTCCACCCTGCCTGGCTGTCCTGCCACGATGACCATGTAGACAGCATTTTCCAGAGCTCATCCCACGTGCCATGTCCCTGCCCAGGTGCCCAGTGGTGAATCAGGGGCCTCTCTCTTTCCCAAGGGTCCCCTCCTGGAGCAGCCTTTTGATCTTTTGTCATCTGCTSCCAGCCCGCCGCCAGCCTCCAGCGTCACGGAGCGGCGACCAAGCCAACGCCGTTCCTTTCCTCAGACTTGCGAGACTCTAACTTTATTTGGTTAATTTTGGTTCAGCAATTAGTAACATCGTAATTGCCGCGGCGAAGGAGTCAGGCTCTCTAATCTGCTCGCCTGTCTCTAGCAGTGGTCAATGCTGTGTGCCTCAGACAAAGCTGTAAAACTCCCATAATTGGCCAGCACCTTCCTAGGCCAACCCCACCATTAAAAAAGGAGGAATTTTGCATCTGAAAGGTCTATAGAAACAGACCCCAAAGGAATAGATTTCTTCCTAACCCAGCTGGTGATCAGCTAATGCTTTCAGGCATGAGGATTGACAGCTCTTGCAATTCTGGCTTAGCTGGCATAACCACTGATGCTAATCACATCCTTCCCTCTCTCAGGTGTTCCTAAWGTGCCTCTGCCACGTTACCTACACCCACAAGGTCGGATCCCTCCCTCCAGCAGCTTATTCAGGCAGCAATTTCCACAATATGGYATCAGTGAGTTCCAGAGGTTAACCACCTTTTTTTTTTTTCTTTTCCCCTCCCCAAAATCATTTTTTATCCCAGATTTGCCACCTTGAAAATTTGAGGACTTTCCTCTTTTAAAATCCAGGAAAAGTGCTGGCTGAGCACTCATCTTTCAGTGCTTTCTGWTTCTCCCAAACATCTTTCCAGATGCCGAGGAAGCCTTTGGGTGCTGCTTTCCCTGCGGCGTGGCTCGGGTGCATAATCCCTCATCCTAAGGAGGAAGAGCCTCCAGCCACACTCCCCCCAACCCCAGGGGTCACTGAATCCCGAGGAAATGCCATGCCATGGCTCTGGACTCACTTGCATAGGCAGRTTGTTGGCCATGGTGAAGCTGGGCATGGGCGGCAGCGCGCTGTACGTGTTCGTGAGCGCCGTGTCCGTCCTGCCCAACATGGAACCTGATGTGAAAGAGGAAACTATAATAGAATAGACAGATAGATGGACACATTAGTTCAACCACATTGGTTCAAYACACCACCTCAGAGCCTCCTCAGCCCCAGAGGATGGAGGGATGAGAGCGGGTCGGTGGCATTACCGGGGGTGGTTGGTTGTGGGATCGGCTGGTAAACGCTTGTGCTGAAACTACTGCTGATGGGAATGTGGCTGGGAGTGTTGCTGGCTTGTCTTCGCTGGTTCCTCAGCTTCTCTTCTCTTCTCCACTTGGCCCTTCTGTTGGAAAACCACACCTGGAAGCACAGCATTTGAGAGATGTGAGTGACCTTACAGGGACTGGAGGCACGGGCCCTCCCCCATGCAGTGGAGCAAAGCAGCGGGTGAAAGCAAAGCCCARCTGCTGCTATTTTCCTGCAAAGAGGGATATGGGCCAATACTTGATCAGAAATAAGGGCTGCCCCGTGCTTCGAGAAGCCAGAAGGAAGAAAATCAGGATATCACTAATAAAATAATAACAGTTATAACTGCAGAGCAGCTCAGTACCTGTATCCTTGCTTCAGGCAGGTCTATTTTAGCAGCTAGTCTCTCTCTCGCAAACACATCGGGATAGTGGGTCCTCTCAAATTCTGCAGAAGGAAACATTCTTGGATTAGCTGCAGAGTTAATGTGGCTGACTGTAAATTCAGAGCTTTTCCTTTGCTGCCTGTGCTCTAAATGCTCCCAAGAAAGGCAAAGCTGAGCTTTGTGTGTGTGTGCGTGTTAGGAAGGATGCCTTGCCTGTGGGGAGCACTGCTGTGGGGATGGGCAGCAATGCCACATCTTTCAAGAAGCACTGAGAGCTTCTGCCTCCGCTGAGGGGGTCCCCAAGGCAGCTCTGACCCTGTCACCAAGAAGCGAAATGGCACGTCGCGAAACAGCAGCGCAAAACAAGAACAAAGCTCGGCGGCGGGTCAGAGGCGAGGTGCGCCCGGGCCGGCCAGGGAAAAGGGCACCTGCTCCCAGCCCCGGGCAGGGCAGCACTGCGGCTGGGGAACCAGCGTGGGGACAGCCAGGGAGGGCTCTGCCAGCCCCGGCTGCCTGGCCAGGGATGCAGCACCGCGGACAGGAGGGGATGGATCTCCCCGGGAGAAACCCCGGGTGTGGCATCGCTGCTTCGGTATCATCTGTGCCCTGAATGCATCGCCTTTGAAAACCATTTTAGCAGCATAACACAGCCAGCAATGAATATTTGTAGCTCTGTGAATAAAAGAGCATGGAGGGAGGCACGGAGTTTAGATATATACATATATATAAGGCACGGGAAWGCGGTGCTCGCGTTCAGCGTTAATGCAGTCGGGGCGCATTTTGCTTTTCTCTCCTGCTTCAGCCACAGGAAAATGTCACTCACCTTTCTCAAGGGCTTCGATTTGCTCTTGGGTAAAGGATGTCCTATTTCTCTGCAGCTTCCTTTTCAGCTGGAGTCTCATTTGGGCCTCGTCTGAGTCCTCTCCGTTCGAGCTGATGGAGTTAGTGTTTTCCCCTCCTCCCTCCTGTTGCGGACAGCCATCTGTGGAACCGAGAGTCGGAAAGTGAAATGCAGGTAGCCTTGTTTTAAAATCCCTATCAGAGAAATAACGCAACAGGAAACAAGTTCAGCCATGTTTTCTGACACATTCCCTTGAAAATGTCTCGGGTATCAAAGCAGCACGGTGCTGACGACACAGGTAACACAGAAACATTTCAGTTTCCAGCCTTATCGTAAACATCAGAGATGAGGAGTTATGATCACCTGGTCTTAATTTCATTTTGTTTTCCCTCTGGAATAAAACCTGCATAAAAATASTTTCCCCTGAAAGTGATTCTTTCCATGAATCCCTGCCGGAGTGCCATGGCAGTCTCCTCTGTCTGCTGCATTTATTTACCTATTGCTATATTTAAAATAGTGATGTTCAGTATTTCAGATTATCTGTAATCAGTAATTCCTATCTAATCAATTAGATGTTGATAGGTTTGCAGAAAATGCTATTAAGAAACCAAACCAAGCTTGTAATCTTTTTAAAAAAATATTTATCCAGTTTTTATTTGAATTCTGCACAGTCAATTTCATTTTAAAGGTTGTGAATTTAGAAGTGCCTGCATTGTTCTGCAGTTTTATTCAACTATTGTATGAGTGTGCATTGCCTTGACACCTATTACTGAGCACAGCTGTAATTATATCATCACCAAGAACAGGCTATAATTGCTGAAAATGGAATTTTATATTTAGATAAAAGGACTGTCCATTCTTTGTAATGTGTTGCACCAGAGAAAAGTAAGATTTCTTTTAAAATTTTAACATGTAATTTTAAAAGAAATAGTAGCGAGTTCACTAACTAGCTAAATATGCCGTTCCGCAGCTGAGCGTTTGGCATATCATTTAAGCGGTACATTTTTAATTAGGGCATTTCCACCACTTTTAATGTAATTTCTGTCATTAAACAGGGGAAAGTTTCATTGTGCTCGGCGCTGGGGCGGAGGCGGCTGCGGCCCAGGGCCGGCTGTTCTTGGGGGGCTCCGCGGGCACCCCCGGCCGRGGCCGGAGGGACGGAGGCTGCTGGAGAGCCAGAAAAGTCGTTGTCCTAAATGAGCTCTCCCTCTCCTTTCAAAGCATATTTTTTCGAAGCGTTTTGATGTCGCATAAAGAGGGAGCCGGGGTGAGGGACGCATGGGCTACTTATGCTAATTCCCTTGAAAAGTTACGCCAAAAATAAATAGCGACACTCCCGCGACATCCTTCAAATATTGTGGGAAATCAACTTTAAAGTAATATCATTTATAATCGGCGAACAATGGCCCCGGTCTTCAAAGCTCGGGGGGAATTGTGACAGGATCTGGTGGGACCCTTTCAACCACTTTGAAATGTTTTAAAACCCGAACTTTCTCCTCCATTTAAACACAGGGATTCAGCGGCCGTGGTCACCATATGGGCGGCCGCAGCCCCATTGAGGCGGCCGGCGGCGGGTGAATAGCGGGGGGGCGGGGGGAGCCGCTTTTCAGGGCACACAAAGCCCCGGGCCCGGGGACGGTCGCCGCGGCGGGGCAGCGCCCTGCCAAGCGCGGGTGGCAGCGCCGGGGGCCGCGCCCGCCCGCGGAGGGGCCGCGCTCACCTCCGCCACCGCCCTCATCCATCACTGTCCGCTCGGGCCGGCCCGCAGAGCCCGGGGGGCAGCCGGGGGGGAGCGGCCCCGCGGGTCCCTCCKCTCCTTCGGGTTCCGCAGAGCGCCCCGAACCTGCCGGGTTCCCCGAACCCGCGGGGAAAGCCCCTCTTGACCCCCACCCTATATCTCTAAACTTTGAGGCCGTGCTTTTTTTTTTTGCCACACCGTCTCCCCAAAATCTTTCAGCCAACTAAAAGTTTCACCTAAACTCGCTTAAGATCATTTCCAACCCCAGCCTGGACAATTAAGATATCTTCCTTTTAGACACACACCCCTTCTTTTTTTTTTTTTTTTTTTTTTTTTTTTTTTTTAAAGCCCCTAAAAGGAGCGATCTCAATAGAGCTGTTCCACCTTCCAGACCTAATCCGTAAGAAAGCAAGTGAATGTCCGTCCCTATTATCCTATAGCCAGACCATCTGACGCTGGGTATAGGATTTGTTTCCTGGAAAAAAAAAAAAAAAAAAAAAAAAAAAAAAGACGCTGGGAAATAAAATCATTCCTTAGTTTCTTAGTGTCTTAATCAGTGAGGCGGAAAACAAGCAAAAAAAGATAGCAAACCAATTGCAGCACCTCTCAGCTATAGAGCCGGGATCAAAACATTGTAGCATCTGTTGAAAGAGAAAGTGTCTAAATCCTATAGAAGGCTTTAGTCTTATAAGAGAGGGAGGGGAGAAAAAAAGATAAGAAACAGTGTCTCAGTGATCCCTAAAACCACTAAATCACTGGAGAATTTCTCCCGGATAGAGATGTCTCTTTTTGTTCTGTCAGCCCTCATGTATCCATTATTTTATTCACTGCTGCATGGCGTTTATCAGATTGAGACCATATTTGTACCCCTCTGAGACCTAACCTCGCCTTATGCTTTTTGAGTAATGGACTCTTAAAATCCAGTAACATACCCCTGCAAGGGAAAAACATTAGAGGGAGCATGAATATTCCAGAGGAAATCCATTTTATTAATTTTAATTTTGCCATGCGGATGTTTTAAGTGCCTGCCTGCCTCCCCCTCGCCTCTGGTGCCCACGCACACACTCAGCCCCGGCCCGAGCTCCGCTTTATTTCGGGGGCGATTTACGAGAGGGCTCCCGAGGTGCTCCCGCCTGCCCTGCGGAAACTGCGCTCACCCCCACGCCACGAGAAAGGGCCACCATTGACCCCCCAAAGCTTCACCGACACCCCCTCCCCAGCCCCCGCCTCCGGCACAGGCGGCTCTGTCGCAGCGCGGGTGCGGCCAAGAGCCACCGGACCCGGGTGTGCCCGCACCGCACCCGCGCAGGGGCTGGGCCTCGSAACACCGCTCTGCAGCGGGGTTCCCTAAATCCCTCCATGTACAGCCTTTCCTAAGGAAAATAGTAAAAACCCCAAAAGCAAGCCCCGGCGGGAGCGGAGCGCGCCCGGCCGCTGGGAGCYGCACGGGCGGAAGGTGCGCTGCCCTCCGCCAGCACCGCTCCGCGCTTCGGCTCTCTCGGGTGCGGGGCAGCGAGAGAAGGRCCCTGGGCATCCCCGAGAGACCCCGGGCAGGGTCAAAGTGCCACAGGTAGGGACAGGAGCCGCCCCGGTTGTTGGGGTGGACATCGGGCAAAATAAAATGTAAAAAAAAAAAACAACCCGCAACCAAACAACAAAATCCAGCAAAGTGGGGGTGGGGGGAAGCGAGGGATCCGCTCTATCTTTCTAGTGTCCTTCATAGACTGTTTTCTTCTCTTAAAACTGACATGTCTAATTGGCAAGCGGTGCCATATCGTGTCCAGAGGTCTCCTGTGGAACATTTCTACAGCTGTCTCCTTCAACTAGACGCTTATTCATGTCGCCTTAATGAGAAACAAAACGATCTCTAATGAGCAATTACATAGCGACAGAATTGTTCCCATAACAAATTCTTGCGTGTGACAGAAACATCCTTTGTACCAGATATTCCGCACACTGTTACCGATTTTTTTTTCCTTGCGGGGTGAAAACAAAAAGCAGGTTGTTGTATATAGACACCTCTTCTAAAGGAATGACCAGAGCCAGAGAGAGCCGAGCCTCAACAGAGCCCGCATTCAAAAAGAAGCCATTAACCATCTTAAGTATGTAACGTAACATCCCATTATCCTTCATATTATCCCCTTGTCATTCCTACAACAAATACCTATTAATCTTCAGGATAAACAGTTTCCTATATTTACGAAGTTGTTTCGGGTCCATTGAGGAGGAATTATATTCAGCCCTACGGAGACAGTTACCGATCGCCCCGGCTTTGGGGACAGACCCCGACGCGGGAAGACGGCCCGGGCGGGGATCGGGATCCCGAATTACCGGGAGATGGGCGAGGTTTAGGCTCAGCCCAGGGTCCCGCCCGGCTGCCGGCACCGCAGCTCTGCGGTGGTCRCGGCTTTGGCAGCGGGTGCTGCTGGGCTCCCCTGGCCATGCCGGACCGCGGCCCCTCGCCCACCTGCCCGATGGARGAACACCCGCCACCCTCAGCGCGGCGGCCGGGGAGGGGTAAGGTGAACCCGCGATGGGGCCATCTCCGCCCCGGACGAGGCCGAACCGAGCCGATCCGGGCCGTTCCGAGCTAGGGAGCGGCGGCCGGGGTGTCTCTTACCTTGTGCGGGCTGCCCAGGTACCGAGGTGCCGGGATACCAGCCGGGTCGGGTGCCCCAGGTCCCCGTCTGCCCGTTGAGCATCCTTAGCTTGTCGTACATCCCGTCGGCACCCATCTGTTGCTTTTCGCTAGCCAGGTTGCGTAGGACTCTGTTTATCGACGACACCTGTAAGGCAAAGGACAGGAAAGGCAATGGTAGTGCGGTAGCGCGCTCCCCGCCAGCCACCCGCGCAACCCCCGCGTCCCTTTGCGCAGCGGGCAGCTCGACCTGGCCGTAAGTCAAGGCTTCCCTGAGCGCTGGCTGCGCGCTGCGGCCGCCCCGACTCGCTCACTGCTGGTGGTGGTGGTGCAAACAAACAAACAAANGCAGCTCGACCTGGCCGTAAGTCAAGGCTTCCCTGAGCGCTGGCTGCGCGCTGCGGCCGCCCCGACTCGCTCACTGCTGGTGGTGGTGGTGCAAAAAAACAAACAAACCACGGGGGAGGGGAAAAAAAAAAAAAAAAAAAAAAAAAAAGCAAAGAAAAAAAAAACCCCAAACCCAACCCTGCAAAACCAGAGTGATGGCTTCGACTGATGCTCGCAGTCCTGAGGCGCCAGGCACAGGGGTGACCCGCATATTGTTTTTTTATTTTTTTTTTTCCCTCCTTAAAGGCATTTGTCAGATTCTGTACGAAAAAATGCTTCTGACCCTGCCACATGCAAATGATGTGAACCTGCTATCCTCTCCTCTGATACCAAAACAAAGGAAGCAGAGGCTCGCTACGGCTACCCAGCATTGTACACAGCACACAGGAAGGTTTTTTTCATGAACTTACACTGGGTATATTATCGTTGGTACAGACCCCCTCTGATAGTAATCTGTCTCGAATCTCCCACGCAAAGATGGAGGGGCACTCTCGTTTATACTGCGCTATTTTGCTTACAACTTCTGGAGTCGCTACTCTCGGTTTACTACCTCCGATTGCCCTGGGTCTGATGGAGCCAGTTTCGTAATACCTGCCCAAAATTTTACTCACACATCCATTCGACACCTGGATAGGGAAGCGGACAGAAAATCACATTATTAATAATTTCAAGACAAAAATAAAATTGTTTAAGTATGCATTAAACAATGACAAGCTTACGTTTTGATTGTCCAGCACTTGGACTTTTGCATCTGCATGGGTCTATAACACAAAAATATACCTTAAATGGTATGAGAACTTACTTAGAGAGTCTTTTTTTTTTTTCTTAAAAAAAATTACATTCGTGGCCCTACCCTCTACAAAAGTGATACTTTAAAAACATTTGGAAGTAAAAAAAAAAATCATCTGGTCAAAACGTAATTCTCTTAGAATCAATGTTAAAATACCCCTTAAATGCGAACAATAGGTAAACCGGACTAGTCTCCATCCTTCTCACTGCTCTTAGCCAAAGGACTTGCGRGGGAAGGGGTGAGTGAGGGGTTTTCAAGATCTACATTTACAAAGTACCCCTGAACTGCGCCAGATTGTATGAGTGTCCATAAGGACAGATTCTGGGCTAAAACAGCGTGGCTTTGAGGGGGGTTCTTTTTTCTCTCTTTTTTTCGCTTTTTTTTGGGGGGGGGTATTGTTTTGCTTTTTGGAAGAAAAATAAAAGGTAAAAATTAAAAAAAATAAAAAAATAAGCAGTAAGCCACGCCAAATGCATACAGATATCACAAAATCAGAAGTAAATGCGGGGACGAAGGAGGGAAGGAGAGGAAACTGAAATTATGCCGAGCCGTATAATTCAGTTTATTACAGCAAACTAACTGTAACGACAGTGCAGGTTATCACCGGATAGAAATAAAAGGGAACGAAAAGTAAAAATTTAAATATTTTAAAAGGCATATATACGTAGATATACGCATCGAAAGGTCTATTTGCAGCGACAATCAAGCAGATGGATCGTTTTATTAGGCTGGAAGGCGGGTGGTGGTGGTGGTGGGTGGGTGTGGGGGGGTCGCATTAGCGCCCGGCGGTGACACAGCGGCGCTGGAGCGGAGCGGACGGAGCGATGGGAGGACGGGGGACGCCGCCGCCTTCACCTGCAGGATCCGGGAGATGTCGCAGGGCCGGGCGCCGCTGTGAGCGAGTTCCACGATCTTCTGCCGCGTGGAGTCGGGCAGCGGCCTCCCGTTGACGAACACCCCGCCGAGCTGGTTCACGCCGCTGTGACCTGCGGGAAGCACAGCGCCCACCATAGCACCCTCCGCTCCCTCCCGACCCGCGCAGCCCCCGCCGAGAGCCCGAGCGCACCGCTGCCCTCCGCCCCGCGCAGCGCCGCCGTTCCGCTCCGTTCCGCTCCCATCCGCGCAGGGCCGACCGCTCCCCGACCCGGCTCCGGCCCTGGCACCGGCCCCGCCGCCATCCTCGCCCTCTGCTCCCCGGGAGCCATCGCGCCTCCGAAAATGCGTCCTCGCCGCACTCCCCGTCTGCTAAATCCGCGGTAGCCACAAACCCCGAAACCCATCCCAAAAGCCCAGAATATTCCCGGCTGGATCGCCTTGGGTTGCTCTCTTGCTTTGCCTTTTTTCTTTTCTTTTTTTTTTTTTTCCTCCCCACCAAAAAAAAAGAAAAAAAATTTAAAAAAAAAATAAATAATAAAAACCCCAAAGCCCAAGCCCAAGCGAGCCTGCCTGCATCCGCACAGCCGCAGCTCGCTTCGCCAAAAGCAAAGCGAGAGGCTGCCTCGCCAGTGCCCAACCTGAAGCTCCAGGCTTTGGAGGGTCTCCCTGGAGAAGCTCTGCTCTACGCTCTCTCTGCTCTCCTCTCTTTGGAGCCTCCTGATAAATTGACTCCAAGAGCCCAGGCTTCTTAGCAATAAATAAGCTCCAAATATAGAAGAGGGGGAAAATATGATGAGCCTCTCTGACATTTGTCTTTAAAATAAAACTAGCTGCACGTCAAGTTTGAGCTTAATTTCTGGAAATAGGCGGAAGTCGCCCCGGATCATGCATGGAAGGCTAATTGAAAAGATCAGTTGGAGCACTTGTGGCAGGCGTGTCACTTTATGACAGTACTCTGCTTTTGAAAATTGCATCGTCACGACAAATAGTAGCATGATAAAACGACCCTTTCTGTCCGCATTTGGATATCACTCAGACTAGATTGAACTCTACTCGCTCTCCCTCCGAGGGAGGCTGCGGTTTGCGGTAGCCGGGGGCTCTGCGCGGACACACCGAGGGGGCGCGCTCCCCGCGCAATGGATTCGAAGTGACATCGGGGCTGGGGAATTTGCCGCCCCGGCCCAGCAGCGCGGCCGGAGCTGCGACCTGCGCTTCCCCAGCGCGGGGAGAGGAGCCCCGCGTCCCTCCCTCCCCGCCTGCGCCCCGGGGTGCTGCGGGCTGGGCCGGCTCGGGGCTGCGCTGTGCGTTCGGGGGCGCAATCCCGATGCTGCTCCCCCCTCTCCTCATCCCCGTAAACGAGTGCAGGGAGCTCGTTTCGGGGGGGACCCACACCGACATAAAAAATGGCAGCGGGGAAAGCAAAATCAAAGTTTCACTTAAAAGGTTAAGCCTTAATCATTATATAATTTCCCTGGAGAGCGGTGTAGATCTCGCCCAGTGGCAATGATTATGCGCCTTGTATTCTATTGCTAGTCATCTAATAGGAAAACATATGGTGTCAATTTGGATGCTCTGCACCATATACACCCAGGAGTTATTAACACAAAGCCTGAAGAGCCCGCCGCGACCTTTAAACAAAATAAAGGCTTCACCCGAATGATATCTTTTCTGCGTTTTGCAGTGGCGATCCCAAACGGCCGAGTGAAGGCATCCCCCATTACCATAAACCCTCGGCACGCCACGGCCAAGGGCAGCAGCCGCCGTCCTTGCGAGGCGCAGGTAAAACCCTCCCCGGGATGCCGAGACTCAGTTTTTGCCCGGGATAAATGAAAATACATCGCACGGACACGCACGCAGCGGCCTCGAAAGATGAAAGAAGGAAATAAACCCCACAAACTAACATCAAAACAAACCAAATT